TATAAAATTTTAAATATAAATAAATGTTATTGTGGATGTACATTCTCTTCTAAAGCATGTACATAACAGAAATGCAAGAAATAATATAAAATATTCAGAAAATTTCAAATGCATTTAACCCTTTAGAGTTGACACCAAAAACTGTAATACAATTACTAACACTGACAATGAGTATGTAAGTCTCATTTAATTTATATTAAGAACGTTAATTAATTTCAAATAACTAAAATGACAAACTAATATGTCACAAAGTCATATGACATAAAATCATATTATCTCATATTTAAAAAAATTACTAAATATATTTTAACAAGAATAATTTAAATTTGCAAATGTAATATTTAAAAAATTGAATTGTGTTTGACAAAAAGATTTATAATTGAGTGGATTCAATAGCTTCGAAAGATTTAAAATTAAAAGAACCGATGTGAACAATCCAAATCGTAAACTGTTATATGGATGAATTCCACTGTTGTGAAATTGTCATCTTTTTTCGAGTCATCTCCGCAGAGTTTGATAAAAAATACTGCAGATTCAACTACCTGTGCAACATTAATGCACAGAAGTACTGCAAAAATCGAAAAGGGAATAAAAACGGGAAGAACAATAGTTTCGTACCATCACAAAAATTCCTCTTGCGGCGGTAGATATTTTACAACATTGTTCGACGAACGCACACGACGACGGGGCGGATCTTTACGCGAATGCTTGAACGCGCGTGACAAACGTAAAAAGATTAAATTCTCTGAAAGATCGGGGTAAGGAAGAAAGTGTTTCAGCTATTTCCTATCTGCTTCTTACCCTCGAGGCAAACTCTCGTATCACTCCACCCTCAGACGCTCATCTCTTTGCCGCGTTCGCGTTGCTATCCCGGACTTTTGGGTCACACGACTTTCTTTCTCCTTTCGACATGCTTCTTTCACGACTGTTAAATTCCTCGATGTCGCATGTCAGATTAAAAGAGGTCGAAACATTGCGGTCGGGCAGCGGTGACGGTTTTCTACTCCATAAAGCATATACTTTAACGCGGAAACACTTCCAGGAAGCGTCTTTCGTTCGTCAACTGATCAGCCGCTTGATATATGAACTCTCGTGTGACGACACCACTTTGCTGATACCGGGTATCACCGAGTCGCTTTCCACCGCTTCCGAAAGTTGGCTTTTTCCACACTCTGTTTGTAATTTAATCGCAGTAAAAATCACGCCGCTAAACATCGTCCGAACGCGCTTCTAGGAACATAACGTCATTACATGCTCTTTTTGAAAACGTAACTAAAAGCCAGCGTGTGTAACCGAAGAAGGTATTTAAATTTCTCCCTTTATAGTATAATGTTAGATGGAATTACTTGCTTGCAGAGATAACTTTGTGACGCCCAGTCAGAAAAACATTCTAAAGTCAATTAACTGAAATATAAACTGTTGGTTCATGGAACATTTGCAGAAAACTGACCGTTTAATAACAGTTGTCATATAAACGTCAGAAGCTTCTAAAATACGATTTTGATACTACAAAATATCAAATTACAAATTATAGTAGATATAAACAAAATATTATAGAGAAAGATAGCAATACAGTCTTTATTATCTCGGAATATATAGATACTGAAGTATTATCTGATAAAAATTACGACATTTGTATTCAAAAATATTACGTTTTATATTTTACAAAAAAAGATTATTGTAATTTTTTAAATATTTTAATTACAAGTTAATACAATCAAATTCCACCGATTGAATAAAACAAAAGTGAAAAAAATTTTACGTGAGTTGTTTTTTTGCAAGTTGTTCATATTATTACGTTCGAAGTAAAAAATACAATGTAGCAACTTTTAAAAAAAGTAAAAAATACAATGAACCAATGTAACAACTTTAGAGACGTAATAAAATATTGATCAACTACAATGTTACATTATATATGTAAGCTTTTGTATATCTATAATAGAGTTTAAAATACCTATACAATTTTTTGCAATATGTATTATAATTTTATTGATGTGACTGGTAAAAATGCACATATAATTATCAATTTTCGTAAAACTATGCTTACGTAATTGAGCTTAATACGCGATGGTGAGCTATTTAATGCAGCACGCGTACAGGATAAAGACTCCTCATTCAAGAAGCAGGCTTCAACGAGCGCGTGACTGATGGAAAGATATACGTAAACATATCTCGGCACGAATGCGAGATAAGCAGAGAGAGAGAAAGAAAAAACTCGACTTATCCGCGTGGCCGCTGACTCCCTCTTGAAGAGATCCTTACTTCCGGCAGGGCAAGAGGATATACCACCGTGATGATGGCGGCACGTTCAGAAGACGAGGGGGAGGACGATGGAAGACCTGCTGTATCCGTCGACAAATACGTCGCGTCCGTCTTCCCTACGAAAGAAACGGGGAATAATAAGCGCACTGGGAATGAAACGAACAAACGGGGGAGGTGGTGAGGAAGCGAAGAAACGTGAAAGAAAGAGCCTAGACGAACGTAGAATTTTGACATATCATAGCTTATTCGCAGAAATGCCGTGAGTTCACGAGTCTGCGTTCTTGCGAGAGGAAATACAAATTCATGCACATGTATCTTTATCAATTGCGCATCTCGCTATAGGTTGTATGTTCTCTTCACCTTGCATATTTTATTAACTAATCGATTTATACATATCAACTAAAAAATATTATCTGCGAGAGATTCGATGTATGTAAGCGGATGTTAGAAACGATTAAAATTTTACGTAAAAGGTCGTAAAAATAAACTTTACCTAAGAGCGACGTGTTGTCGAGCGCGACATATTGCCGAATCCAGAGGAATACGAAATATCAGATCACGAAAGTGCCATCAACACATTTCGATACGCAACCAAAATCTGATGCGCGTTTTGACATATATGGCAAAATCGATTTCGAATAAACTGGTTAAAGACGCGAGAAAAAATCGGAGCATCCACTGTTTTGTTTGCAGTTGCATGAACTGTCATGGCCACCGATCGCGATCTACCTTAAGGTGTGTCCAGACTATCGAGCTGTGAGCCGAGCCGCGAGCCGGGCCTACGTCCACAATGGCTACGTTTACACCGTGCACTTAGTCCGCGACCTATACGATAGACGTCTTTGTTTAATCTACAGGATAAACAATCATTATTAGAATTCATTGAATCAATTTTCATTATTTTTTCATAATTCAATGAATATTTTATTGTATTTACGTACAGTTTTAGTTCAGGGCATCTTTCTTCCTTTTCTCTACAGAAGGAAAAAAGAAGAAGAAAGATGAATTGGTGCAAAAGTTCAGCCAAAGAGAACAGTCCTATTATCAAAATGAATGTAAGTTCACATCAAAGCTTTGAATATGGACGTAGGCTCGGCTCGCGGCTCGATAGTCTGGACGCACCTTTAGGGTGGTATTCATTACAGTGTCTATTCGTATTCTAAGACCTTGTCTTAATACGGCTCTCTGGTTCACGTCATTTTAAGACTGTACTTAAAATATTATATAATTGATTATTGAAAACAGTTACCATTTTACGTAAATAAATTAACCCTTTACTCGTTTTAGTTCGTTAAATTTGACCTTGGATATTTTTTTATTGAAAAAATATATAAAAGTTCAAAGGTACATACCTACAAGTCTATTTGGTCAGGTTATACACATATATACATTAGTCGCTAATTAATATCTAAGGCTGCATATTTTTCAAATTATTACTCCGAGTAAAACTTATATAAACCGATTCATAGTCGGTTCTTATTTCAAGATCGCCTTAAGTAATATTTTAAGACGCTATAAACAGATCACAGAGCTGTATTCACTATTAAATAGAAGAAAAAGTCAGAACCATATTAGCATTTTAAGATAAGATGTAGATCTTAAAAAATAAGAACCGGCGACTATCGTGAATACCGGCTTATGAATTAATTTTTTTATTCTGCATAAAATTTTAGAACACAATCTAAATTTATGACTAAGACGATATATAAAGGTACAACCTTGGAACAGGACCTATAATTTTTTTATTGGAAAAATATGGGGAAACTGAAGTAATAAAAATATTCAAATATTGCGTTAGTAGCGACATCTTTTAACGATGGACTGTATTTTGTTCCCTATCTTACAATCGGTATCATTATCGACCATCGCGATTATAATCGCGTATTTACCGACACGTCTTGCGTTTTAGTAAAAAAAAATTATAAAAATTAAAATTAAATTAAAAAATTAAATTAAATTAAAAAATAAAATTATTAAAACTTCTTGCGTTTATTATTACATTTGTTAAAATCTGATTTATTAAATGTATTAAAAATTTTAATTAATGATTAAAATAAATTAAAAATTTTATGTGGCATGAGAGCAAATAATAAATCGCGAAATGGATGGCCATTTGAGTGCTAAACATAATAATTTTCTAATCTTTTTAGATTCTTTAATAAGAATCTAAAACTGGACAGTCGCAAACTTCCATCAACAAGAATTGACTTCGTCAGTTTCTTTTATGGATCAAACCGTAGCGACGAAATTAATTAAATTGACAATATCAAGTTATCTAATTAAATTCAGAGCGCAAGAAATTTTGTATGAGATACGAATTCTTGCATATCTGGGAATTCTTTGCGTAAAGAGAACAGAAATCTAAATTTTCATTGATTTAATAGCGTGAAATTATTAATATAATAGATCGCGCGCTTTTATGGGAAAGAATAACAAGAGACAATCATTAATTCCATCTCAAAGTTCAAATGCATCAAATTACTCAATAAATAAGATTTTCATACCTACATACACCCGCTGAAATTCTTATTCGTCAAAAAACGGGTTTAATTAAATATTCACGTCAATTTCTCTGCGCGATAAAGACCCGACGACTGCATAGACGATCTATTTGGATCTCCTTATTATCTCTCGCGCGACGATTATCGTACGTTGAAATTTACATGGCGAGGAATCTGCTCCTCGCGGCTGCACCGCGCTATACCTTCTGCACTTGAAACGGGAACGAGCGTGAGATCGAACGTCAGTGCGACAAAGAGACGAAACGAGAAGTACGAAATGCTCGGCTACGAGGAGCGTGCTTCGTGATACGCGGCCGATACGGTATCGGCAAGAACCGCCCCGCGAGTGAGTCGCGTTTGAAAGTACGTGCGCCTGCAGCCAGCTTCCGTCCGGTCGGCGGTATATCGCATCGCGACGATGTGACGTTCACTTCACGTCGCACGCACACAGGCAGGACTCGGTGGTATGGCACGGTAGGGCGGGTGTATATTATCGCGTTTCGGGGGCGTTTCATTAAAGAGCGCTCGTTTACGGTACGTGTACGCTTCTCCCCACGGCTCCTCGCCTGAGAGGAGCGTCCGCGACCGCGTCGCGCGTTTAATGGGGAGTTACGGGGCTTCGCCGATCACGGCTTAATATTAATCGCTGTCCCCCCCCCCCCAAGGTCAGGAGGTGTGTGCGTTATATGTGTGTGTGCTGACTCGTCGATAAACATCGCGCGCGCCGACGTCATCACCAGGAAACGCGCGATGCGTGTCCCGACGCCGCGAGCGCAACACCCGAAGGTCTCGTGAACGATGTCCAGGTGTCAATAATTGACATCCGCGTGGCGAACCCGGAGAGACGCGTTAACGGGAGCGCGTAGGTAGGTTGGGGCAGGAAGGTATGGAGGGTGCCAACGGTCAGCTGCAGACCAAGTATCAGAAAATCGCCACGGAATACTCAAAAGTGAGACTCTCGTAAAGCCAGATTTTGTATGTTTTCCAGTAAACATCAACTAATGTACACTTGAAAAATTTGTCGTACGACAAATAAAACAATTGGTCTAGCAGTAACATAAGATATATCAATATTATAATTTCACACTCAATAATGTAACTGTTATGTACACATGTGCTGTATTATATTTATATTTATATTGTTGAGTATGAAATTATAACACTGATGTTATGTTATTGTTGGTTGGAGTTTACTAAGTTACGATAGTGCGCCGCCACTTTATGATTTTGTATTGGCTTTTTGCTTCATCTGTTTACTACTTAATGTATCTAAAGGAGGATGATCAATTTGCAGATTCGTGCGCAAGCAAATGTTCTGAAGAAGGCTGTGATAGAAGAACAAGCGCGTAACACGGATGTCCGGAATCAACTGAAGGAAAAGGAGGTGGAGTTTCGTAGGGCTGAGCAGGAGATCGACAGTCTAACATTTCGCAATCAGCAGTTGACGAAGCGTATAACTGTACTACAGGATGAGCTCGACAAGGCACAAAACAAGCCCAAGAAGGGTAAGGGCAAAGCGTTAGAGAACAACAGTCAGATTCCGGCACCACCGCCACCGAATAACATCTTAGACGAGGAATTTCAGAAGAAGATTGTCGAGAATGCTCAATTATTATCTCAGATTAGTGACAAAGATAGCGAAATTGAAAGTTTGTACGATAGGATACAACAGTTGGAATGTAAAGTCGATTATTGCGAGAAGTCTAAGGTAGAGTTAGAGTGCCAGTATCAAAGCACTATAGATAAATTAGAAAGAGAGAGAAATGACTTGCAGAGAAAATTAAACGATAGACAGAAACAAGAAGAAACTGTGTCGTGGTCTAGTAACGAAGGTAGACGCGATGGTTTTGATTTTGATACGAGAGGAATACTCTCGAATCATCGTCAGACAGAACCATCGCCGTTTTCTTCACCGTCTGCTTCGCGTAGATCGTCAAAGTCGCTTGGGGAAGGAAAGCAAAAGTCACAAGAAGAAAGTAATGAATTCCTTTATGCAAAATCATGTGACTTAGAGAAGGAAATCAATCATTGGAAAACTCAGTACCATATACTCAAGATAAAATATGATGAATTAGAACAAAGAGAAACTGCAGCAACTTCGCAAATTAATAACGACACATTAAAGCCTGTGGAAATAAATAATATGGTGTGTATTATTAATATATATTTGCACATTCCTTTTAAACATATAGATCTCATTTTTAACTAAATTACATATGTCGATTTTTTTTTGTTGACAGATTGGAAAATTGAGCGCACCTTTTGCCATACCAGATGAAATCGAAGCTCGTGAATTAAAAATTAGTGATTATTTCCTAGAAGAAATTGAAAGATTAACAAACGAAAAACATGTCTACCATATTAAAAACTTAGCTATGGCCGCTAATGTAATAAAACATACTTAAAATGTTATTTGTATAAACGTTTTTATATTTTTGTTATATGATGCAAACATTTGTTTGTGTTTTAGAGCGAAGTTATGCACGCGCAGTTAGATACAAGTGAGTCAAAAAGAGAAAAGTGCGAAGCAACACTGTTAGAGACACTTTCCAATTGTAACAGTATACAGAAAGAGAAGGATGCGCAGGAGATTAATTACAAGATACAGCTCAATACTATGAGCGAGCATCTTGCCAATATGAATGAGAAACTTATCTTCCAAACGGAGGAGATACAACAACTGAAATTCGAATTAGCTAATAAGGTAAAGATACACGGGATATACATATATAAGGGATAATCTTTTACGACGGCGTTTAAGATCGAAGATATAAATTTTTTTTCAGAATAGTAAAAAGGGAAAACAGAAGTGATCCAGGTCAGAATTGCAAAGAACAATCATTGACATTCCATTCAGTGGTATGGTTTAATCGGGATCATTGATAAATTTTATGTATATATTTAGCTCATATCTGAAAACCACTGCTTTTGCGCATACTCGTGCCTTTAGCCTGAAAAGCGCTAAAGAGCTCTCTAACTCGATGTTACATTATTTATGAAATCAAAATAAAAACTCATCGAAACGACGTTCTTTTTATGAGCGTTGTTTATGTTATAAGTTTAACTCTTCTAATATTGTATATGTGCAACGATTATTCTTATTTGCTCATACTTATTTACAGCAATATACCAACACTTCGTACAGGATAAATTTTACAATCTAAATTTGTTAATAAAAATGCATAAATCATTTGGGGGGGGGGGGGAGTACGACAATTATAGTTAGACCATTTATAGTTAAATTGACATTTACAATTGTAAATTATATAAACTGTTCTTTCTATATTAAAAGAGATATAAGAGATATGTACAGCTACTGTTTATAGTAGGTGTTGTGATAAAATTAATGTATATTCGCCAAAGCAATTGTATGTATTGCCTTGCGCGTACTAATTATAAATAAAGTATAATTAATCTTCGGTAAACTGTTTCGAAATTAATACATTAACCAATAACATGTACATCCATCATCATCTACTCTACTTTAATAGCAAAGCTAGCACCGCAACTACATCCCTGTTCGGCTAAAGGATTGTTCGTTATTCTAAAGGCAGATCGTATCAATTCCGTATGGAATTCTATCGTTGATCCCTTCACATATTCTAACGACGTCGAGTCTATTATTACCTTAGTACCATCCTTCTGAAATATTCTGTATAACACAATAAAAAGTTTCTATCAATCCTATGTTTTATACAAAAAAATATATATATATATATTAATGCATACCTGTCATCTTCCTGTATATTTGAATCTAAATCAAACTTGTACTGAAATCCGGAGCAACCACCGCCTTCCACGATAATTCTCAAACATGTGCCATCATTGGTTATTTCTTTCAAACGCTTCACACAGCTATCACTGATGATCAAATCATCTGCAGATTTGACAGCAGCTTCTGTTGACATTCCTCGGGATGATGTAACCATGGATACATTATACCATGGTGAGCTGTAGAAATATATATATATATATATAGGAATTTTTTTAATATTATATGTATCCATCGTTTGATGGATTTTGTGTCTTTAATCTCTCTTTAAGTTACGTGACATCTGAGTTTTAAAACTCGAACAATATGTTATTGCTCTCAAATTATTCTTCGTTCTTGATAAAGTTAAATAATTCTTACTTTTATTATTATTAGATGCATATTCGTATTAGTTATATATATTTTTCAATATAATTACTAATAAAATATATTTTTCCTTTGCAATATGCATAAATATTTGTATTGAAATTCAAACAAAATATATATTATACAACACATTATAATATGCATAATTATATTGTCATATTTTATGCTATAAATTATTTATGGTAATAAAATAATATGTTACAAATATTATATAACATGTCTGTGTTAGATTTAATGTGTTAAAGAAAAATAAATTTTACTCACGCCAACAATCGAGAGAAATACCGATTTGCTGCAAAATTTGAAGACAAACCCCACATGACATGGGTTAATTTCGCCATGTTTCCCAGTCGATATCAGCTGTTGAGTAGTTGAGTTAGTTCCAAATTTTGCCGCCAACTTTAAGCTTTATTTACAAATAGTTGCGGCGCCGAGTCGTTTATTTTTCGTACCACATTTCCAAACTCTGTTTTTCCGCCTTATCTTATTCCGACTAAGCACGCCTTGCAAGTGAGAATCGTTATTGTTGGACAATCGCCAGTTCTATTTTAGTTAAACGCGATGTTTAGGCATATGAAGTAGTATTTAGCATAGTCTGATTTTATACTTAATATTGTTCTAAGTCTGATATTCGATTTAGATGGTCTTAAAATTTCAATCAAAATGAAATTTCGGTCGTATATAAATGATTTTATTTTAGAAATACTGATTTTATTATAAATATGATCAGATAGGACTATAAATATCATCCACGTTCATTGCCAGTTTTCGCGGCAGTCGACAACGAAACGATATCAAAAAGAGCCAACTAGAAAGTTCATGTCTGTATTGGTGAACATCTAGTTCTCATCGTATCGTTTTGTTCATAATATTAATAAACAAAACGGAAATTCAAATGGAAAGATTAAGATATTAAAAAAATCTAAGACAATAAAAAAATTGCTTTAATTCGATTCCATGTAGCATGGATCATTCCAGTAATTAATATCACACAATAATATTGTAATGTTCCAATATTGCAGTAACATATTTCAAACGTTGCAGCAATGTCGTTGCAAGTTTCGATGTTATAATATTAAATATGGAATAAGAGGAATTAAAGAGAAAGAAGTGAAAGAGTATAACAAAACGGTACCGGATTTAAAAAAAACAGTTCCAAACAAAAAAGTCAAAATAATGTCATATTAACTGAATCATGACAGAAAAATTACATAAATTCGGTCAAAATTAATAATCGATCAATATGACATCAAACTGGCATTATTTTGACTTTTTTGTTCTCCATAGATGTCCATAAATGAAAAAGAAAGGAAGAGAATAAAGAAAGCAACGTTCTCTGTATGTCGAATGGTATTGGCTGGAAATCATCGCGTCACTGACGTCAACGTGAAAGAGACGAAGCGACGACGATGTGCGAGAACAGAGTCTTGGGAGTTGGGAGTGGAGAAAAGGGTGCGCGGCGCGGCGCGGCGCGGCGGCACGAGTAAATAATCGCGAATCAGCTGATGAGGCACAACACAACACAAGTCAGTTGGAGAACGAGGAGGAGGGTCCGTCGTTTTCCCGCTATTGTTGCTACTGCTGCTTGCTGCTACTGTTGCTGCTGCTACTGCTGCTGCTGTCATCGTCGTCGCTGTCGCTGCTGTTGGTTATGGCGACGAGTAGCTCCGACGGCTCCTGCACCGCACCCGCGGATTTCCAGCTCTCGTCCGAGCTGGAGGACGCGTCGAGTCGTCTGAGCATGAATCTGCTCAAGTGCCCATTGTGCCATAACAGCCGTCGGATTTTTTACTGCCGCCAATGCGTCCAGAACGGAGATTTTATACATTCGAACACCGTCTACTCCGAACGGTATGTCTTATTTTTCTTTTTTTCTTGCCACACTTGCCGCGAATGGGTTGTTGGTTTTTTCTTTTTTTTTTTGTCTTTAGATCTGACCGAGTCCATCATGAAACGTGTTATTTCTGAGAATACGTTATAGCTGTCTTTGAGAGCAAGGCTTTGGAAACACATTCTAGCTATAAGTTATAATTACTGATGATGTTATTCAGATTCGCAGATAAACAAATGCGGCTGGTACGGCTGAAGGCTGCTAGAGCCCAGCTAGAAGAGAAGTGCATGAAGGCTCTGGAGAGGCACAAGCAGAGAGATAAATTGGTACCATAATAAAAATAAATGATTCTTTTCTATTCTAAACTAAAATTTCTATCCATTGGTCTATTCTCTTTTCAGTTGAATTTTTTACCCTTTCTTCTTTTTCTCTCCATATTAGAAAGAAAAAGAGGAAAAATGTACATGTTCAGCTGAAAAGAACAGATCCAATATGTAAAGAAACACTATTGTTTATAGATACATATTTATTTTAATACATGAGCACGAAGAAGTTTCCTGCAAACAGTTGGTCTTTTTAATATAATTAAATGAAGACTGTTACACAGAAAATTATCACATGATTTAAACAAATACATGTAATTGTGCAATCAAATAAAATATTTTCTTATACAATGTTTATTTAGTGATGTAATATCTCATATTTTAAATTTGTGATTTCAGATTTGTGATATAAATACATGTAAAGAAAGAGTGAGACTACTGCAGTCTCTAGTAAACGAAACAAGGCAAAGTATCAATAGAGGTAAGACCTAAAATTTGCAACTGATATAGTACTTGTTTGAATTATCTCTTCTATTAATTACTTAATTTTTTACATGTAGGTAATCAACGTCTGAATGTTTTGAAAGATGTCAACTCTCAGTTGACTCTTCGAGTGCCACGGCACGAGGATAGAATAGAGAAATTACATCGATATGTTAATAGCTTGAAAGTTAAGCAGGAGAAACAGAAGGAAGCTGTGGATAGAAAAAGGGAGCAACTAAAGAAAGTTATTAGAACTGTTGCTAAGCAGTTAATTCAGTACATTTTTCCTTTATCCAAGGTCCAACCAAACAGAAGGTATTAGAAATGCAAACATAAAAATGATATAGAATTGTTACAAATTCTCGAAGATTATTAATATTACGGATATTATTTATAGTTTGTGCAGCAGCGAGGACAGCGACAGTGCCACCTCGGATATCCTTACTAGCGCATTAGCAGATGCATCAAGTACGTCATATGTACGGGGTAGATGGATTAACGAGAAAGAAAGTTTTCTGGAAATTCATCATTCTATTGTTGAATCAACATTACCAGCGACAGGAGACTACAGCCCTTATTCTCTTTGGGGTAATTGTTTTTATTCCCATATTAACGACATTACACCTAAATATACATAAGTAAGTATGCAACTAAATGTGTTACATTTAGTTGCAGCAAATAAAGATGGAGTGCCAGGTGCAAATAAAGAAAACGCGATGCACAATCCAGCGTATAATATTAGTGCTGCTTTGACATACGCTACACAACTGGTTAATGTTCTTGCCTATTATGTTAATATAAAATTACCATATAAACTTACTTGTGGGTATGTATTAAGAATTATATATACTACTTGCAAACATATTCATGAAATGATATTTTTTATTCATGTCTAGTTCTGTTAGCTGTAAATAATGTAATGTACGAACACACATATTAACAACAAATTGTGTGAAATATTTTCTTCATCTTGGCCATGTTTTTTTCAGAGAATTTTGCGGGAATGAATTGTCGGACCAAAAATTTGCTAGGAAAGTGGCAAGGCTAAATAGTAACGTATTACATTTGTGTCTTACGCAAAATACCAAAATAGAAGTTTTAAATCCTATGCATACATTGCAAAACCTGATGCATTTGCTCAATACTGAAATTAGTGATCTCGGAAGGTAATTCGTAATAATTTTATTAATCTTAACAGATTAGAATCGAATTCGTAAACTTATAATTACATATCCATGTATTGCATATTATAGAATTGGACCAATGGAAGTTGATCCGTCTGTAATAGCACAACTTCACAATCAGTTAGTTCCCGATTTGGAAAATAGTGATGATTCAGCTTCGGACGAAGAAGATTTGTGTTGGGGATGGGAAGCTGTAAGTCATACTTCTGTAAGTTATGTACGCTATGACGAATTTCGAGCAATAGGAACACAATTGATGGATGCTGGTATTCACCCGTGGCGCTATATGTTTGCAGGTACCAAGTATCGCTTGTCCTGAAATGGCAGTACCTTCTTCTGGTGCGATGATTAGTCAACAATCTTCTAGTATGCAAGTACATCAGAGTGTCGCTGGTGGTTTGGTAACAAGTGCAGCAGCCAGTATCGCCTCGATTTGGCGAGGTTGGACTAATAAATAACTTTTTTCTTTTCAGTAAGTTTCTTTCGATACAGGCACATTTACAGTATATTTTGAATTCTTCAAATCAAAGGGCAGAAACTTTGGAGAGGTGCTTCAAAGTAAAAATAATATTTATATAATAATATTTATATATTGCGGAGAAGGATGTGATTTTGAAATCAACATGTAAAAATACGTGATTTTTTTTAACTTACACGTAACACTCAAAGTAGTTCAAATACGCTGTGACAGATTCCGTTAGATCTGATATCTAACTTAGCTCGAATTTAAAGTAACTTAGAGAAGGATTAATAAACTGGCTGTTTAATAAATTTACAGACATTTTATATTTCAATTGCACTATAAAAATAGATTAGATTGTAATATATTAAGATATATACCAATGGTCTACAACAAGATGTATGTTAATTAACACAGATGTATACTGATATAGAATTTGTTATGGTAGAACATATAAATGTGCAATGACTGCCTTTTTTATGCTCATCGCTTTTGATGCGATTATATATCTATACAAATGAGATATGCTTCCCTCTTAAACGTCATTAATATATTTTATATTACGGAATTCACACTTGATGTAAAATCAACATTAAAATCTGATTAAATTGTATAAAAGTTTTCGAGCAAACCTTGGAATTGTAATTAAACTTTAGTTATTTTTTGTTTGGCAACAAAAACTTTGCAGTGATGTATTTGTTGCTAAATATTAATATCGAATAAGTTAATATTTATTTCATATGCTAAATGAGTCCTAAAATATTTTGGTACCCTTGATTTTGGTAAACTTGGATAATTCATGTACATTATATTATTTATTATATATAAAAGACTATTAAGTAACATTATATATATTTTTACTATGTAACATAAAAATAGGATTTATTAAGCATTTTATACTTAATAGTATATAAGAAAATTATTGTAAAGTGCATTACGTTAGCTGATTTGATTATATTAAGTGTGTGTAAATGAAAGCATCGATAAATAGTATTGTGGTCATTGTAAAATATATGATCATCCATAAGAAACCAGCACACAGTTCTACAAAATGGTTAATAATTTGGGTTTTCCAGTTAAATGCTTAGTCCAATCAATCTACAATAATCGTATTTTATTTTTGTACAGTGTATTGAACATCATATTTTTTAGATTAAGAAATGATAACTTATTCTTGGTCATCCGAAGACCAGAGTAAAGGTAGTTAATAATATGTTGACAATTGTGAAGTCAACGTAAACATAAACACAATTTATTCCGTAATTATATGATGAAAATGCTTTCTGTGAAACATTTATCATCAGACAATTCTTATAAATCGAGTCACTTATTTAGACAGTGTAGAGAAAAAACACGAAAAAGATGTTGATAGACAAAAGATGTGGAAAAGATGTGGATAGACAAATAGACTAATTCATCATTACTACATAATTTTCTTATGTATATATCCAATTTTCTGAATAATGTTACAACATTTTATGAACATGTGACAGATAGGAAAAGACAAAAATTTCACAAATAGACAAACTACTATTTCAATATTGAAATGTTAACAAACATAAATTTATCTATATATTAATAATTTAACACAATTGTATATCTTATTTAACAGCGTATATTATATATATGTATATATATGTGTATGTAATTACTTTAACGTGATTGCTGTATGTTAAGCATTAAACCAGGCGTTACCAGTACATTTTAAATTATATATTTAAGTTGAACTATAATGGTAGTTTTGAATCACAAAGCGCAACAATTTAAATCACAGTTTTGGAAATGTACAACAATAAAATACATGAAATAGCGTAAGTACTTCATACATATGTGGGTATGCGTGGATGGACGAATATACAGTTTTTATCTTACTATAAAATGGCTATGTTTTATCTGAACAAAGATGCATTGTGATACCTCGAATAAACTAGGATCTGTTTTTTTATTGTTATTACTGTATATTTAAGTAATATCAATAAGAAAAATCGCATACTTTTTAAATATCAACGGTATGCCCATACCATTTTAGATCTTTTGTATCATCTTCAATATTTTGGAATAAACGTGTAAAAATAATCTTTGTAGCACATTGTATTCATACACGTAAATACACATATATATATATTATTGAACGAGATATCTAAACGAGCTAGCACAGGCAGCTCCAAGAAATAGGAGTTGCCAGATAAGTAAGTCTTATATAATAGGAAAAGGGATATATATGAGAGCATCGATTTCTATTTTTATATAAAAAAACAAAGTTTATTTTATTTACGATCGAATAAAATTGTTTTAATTGCATAAGTGCAACAGAACTAAATATAAAAAAATTAACTGTGCTTTGAAGATCCTATTATGCATACAATCATACAGCGATATTAAGTGAAGAATACATCAATTTCTACAATTACATAATATACATTGTGTGAATTATGCGTTCAATTTCCCATTAAAATAAACTAAATATAATTTTACATATATCAATCCAAAGAAATATATGTATATGTATATTAATTCTAGAATAGCTTTTTTAAAATTAGCAATATATTAGGTTTCTAATTTACTAATCAATAGTAACCTTACGGTAATTTAACATTTTTACATAATTATATCATGTTTTATTATTTATGTAGCATAATTTTGCTTCAAAGTTATAATTATCTCTGTTAAGAGGTTGATAAAATTTTATTTAAAAATACATGTCGTATGAAGATGTTTCGTGTATAATTCAATGTATAAAAGGAGTAAAAAAAATGTATGTTTGAGATATATGTTAAAAGAATTTTCCCAATTTTTCTCCGTTTTACCCTTAATTGAAAAGAAAATGCTTTGTACGTGTTTCTTTATCACGCGTAAAAATGTAACGATTAAAAAAAGAAACTGACATTAATAATCAATTACCACTCTGCACAGTCTCTGCTCATGTAGTACTCCATAATGACTCTTGATGATAGATATCTCATTTTCACCACTTTTGGATTGGCCAGTCTATTGCAATTTCGCATGTATGAAATCGTATACGTAATTGCATACATTAACTGCTCTGTGAATTCTGTAAGCATATCATTATATAGTACTTTAATTTTTGCGCATACATCTTTTCCTGGAGATTTAACAATCACGCGTATATACATTATCTTGTTTCTTTTGTAAATATACATATTTTTTATTAAATATTTTCGAACTAATTTGATAAATTATTATATAGATATGAAAATTTTTATACGATTTCTTATAGACAAATGTAATTGTGTACAGTTTTGTGTTAAATATTAAAAATTGTACATATTTTCTTGTCTATAAGACATTATAAGAAAATGTATAACAATAACGATATTACATGACCGATATTATGATATGACCAATACTTATATTTAGCTTCTTAAATTTTTAGTTTCCGATTTGAAACTTGATTTCAAAATTATTAAACTAATTTTGACTGTCTTTAGTATTTTATCTACTTATATTTTTACAAATATATTTAGTTTTAATTAATAATTCTATAACTTGTTATGTTACTGATATATAAATAAATTAACAATACCACTATATAATGTTCTTAATATTGCAAATAAATAATATAAATTACATACTTACATGCATTGGAAATATCATCAATGTTGATGATTGATTAAAACATTCTTACAATATTATTAATTTATCATCTTGGAATATTAATAACACACTATTTATTATATTATAAATATAATATAAAAATTTATTTCTAATTACAATCACGTCCAAGTATCATTAAAATAATACCAGAAAAAAAATTAATGAAACACTATATGTTAAACAGATCGTTGAAAGACACGATATAAGAAAATATTTAATCAGATATCTATCCAAAGAAAAAATAATTCTGTACGCCTCTTTTCTTATACTTTTACAGATAATGTTCAAATATTAAATATTCTAAAATAAAAAATGTAACTCCAGCTTTATTCTTTTAATATGCTGTTTTGCAGTTCTTTTCCAATAAATAAAATATCGTTTTTTTTTATAAGCTAATAATACTGAGATAATACACGTGTACATTTCAATCATGCAGAAAAAAACACTACATAATTATAAAGTGGTATTGTCTAAAGATAAATATCAGAATATTAAATATAGATTTCTGAAAATATGTTACAAAGTATTAGACATCGGATATTTACTTCTCGACTCATTATTGACAATATCAATAGCATATTTCTAGGGAAAACGTATTTACTAATTACTAAGAAAAAACATATATAATACAAATATATTAATACAAAAAAAAAATATACTGAACTTTTTATTGAACTTTAGAAATTCCGATCACTTCATTCTTTACGCTCTAATTATCTTTACCTTCTTATTATGGAAGTAATAATTGATAACTTTATCTGTTTACTGGTACTCTATATGGACTTTTTGTAATTAATCACAATGATATTACGTTTATAACACAATTTTTCATTGTAAAAAAATAAGTTTTGTGAATATTTGCGTATATCAGGCATTCGTTCGTTTGTGCAACGACGATCGGTTCACCATGTTATCCGATCTCTTTTTTTCTATAAAAGAAACATTATTTAGGATGGAACAATTAAAATAAAATAATCCAAGTTCATTGTGATAGCGATGTAATACCTAACGAGGTATTTTATATTTAGTCAACAGCTTGGAAATAGGTAAAATGTTAGAAATCACATATACGCTTACTTATAGCGAAAAACGAAAGACTTGTTCCCATCAAATCATTTTAATTATGCGTATTATGTACAATAAACATAGACAAGTATTGTACAATCATGTCGACGACTCTCTACACACGACAATAATAATATATCTAAAATAGTAGCGTTATACCGCATTTGAAACGCCAAAATTTTGCAGTATACGACAGACGCTTATTGTAAGATCTTAACTTCCTTCTTCGTTTTCTTAACTCTGTCTGTATATTTTAGACGCCGCATAAAAATGTGTGTTAATACTAAAGCTTCCATTTCAAAAACAACAATACACATG